CATATATTTTTTAAAAAATAAAACATTATTTATAAATAAATAAATAAATACTGGACAAATTTTGAAAGCCGCCTAATATGATTTAGAAACTACAAGTAAATGCTATTTGTTATGCCAGAAAAAATAACAACAATGTTACCACTTCTTCCTTTTTTTTTTATTTGCAAAAATCAATAGTATTGCCTTCCCATTACTTTTGTGTTACTTTCTTTCCTTTCCTTTACATCACCCTCTTTTTGCTGCCGAGTTTTGACTCCCACAGCAACAATGTATGCAAGCTACAGGAAAAGAGATTCCACCTCAATATTAGGAAGAACTTAGGGCCTAAGCAGACTGGCGGCTCTGGGCCGCTGTGGGAAGGTGTGCCGCGGGACCGAGGCATCCCCACGCCTCGATCCTGCGGCGCACCTTCGCCGTCCCTGAAAGGAGCGCTAAAATAGCGCTCCTTTCACAAGTCAGCGAAAGTGCACCGCAAAAGCATGAGGCGCACTTTCGCTGACTTATCCGCCGCAGCGTGTGCAGACACTGCGGCGGGAGGTTGCCCTCGGAGCGCCAGCCGTGCGGAGGGCCAGCAGCTCCGAGGGCAACCTCGGGAGGAGGAAGGGGCGCCAAGTGTGCAGCTGCCCCTCCTCTTCCCTGCCTCCAGGACAGCTTTTTAAGCCATCTGCCGAGGCCCTTACTTGACAGTAAGAGCTGTTCATCAGTGAAACACACTCCCTCTGAGTGTGATGGAGTCTCCTTCTTTGGAGGTCTTTAAGCAGAGGCTGGATGGCCATCTGTTTGGGGTCTTTGATTGTGATTTCCTGCATGGCAGGGGGTTGGACTGAATGGCCCTTGTGGTCTCTTCCAACTCTATGATTCTGTGATTCTATGATTCTCACATGGAGCCCATTTATCACCCAGAGCTGCTGCTGAGGTTAGAATGAAGCACCCATCCATGTTATCGATGCTAGGTGCCCCATTCTGACCTCATGACATGCCCACATCAGCAGCACTGGGCATCTTGCAGGGATGGCAGGTAAGGGCAGCAGCTGCTGTTACTACAAAGAGAACAGAAACCCCACAGCAAACAGTGAGTTATTTAAATGTGGGTTAGGGGGAAGAAGCCCCAAATCGGGTGCAGGCATCGTGAAGACAGTCCAGGCCCAATTTGGGATTTTGGTTCTGTGTCATGTGAACAGGAAGCAGTGAGCCCAGAGGGAATTCAGGGTAATTCATCCATGTAGATAAGCCCTAGGGTGTATGCTGTTCAGAAATAGTTGCATTGCAGCTCTCAGCATGCTTCACCATTCAGTTAAGGAGCTGCATCCAACAACTGGCAGGGGGCTGAACTAGATCAGTGGTTCCCAAACTTTGGACCTCCAAGTGTTTGGGACTTCAGCTCCCAAAGGCTCCAGCTAGCCAAGCCTGGCCAACAGTCAGGAATTCAGGGAGCTGAAGTCCAAAACATCTGGAGGTCCAACATTTGAAAACATTGAACTAGATGGCCCTTGCAGTCCATTCCAACTTTAACTCCCTATAATTCTATGGAGGACTGCATAATCCTCACCTCTGATATAAATGGTTGTAAGATTAAGGAGATTCCCTTTTTAAAAAGGAAATAATTTCTTATCAAGTGGTGCTGTAAGGAAATTATTAGTATTTGCCTGTTTGTATATGGACACTGTTACTTACCTTTACAAATAAACTCTTCCTACCAAAGAGTTCCCTCTTCCAACATCATCACTACTTTCTTGTTTTCCTGGATTTTATAAGTTTTGATCGGAAGTTGGATGAGTGTTCTTGGAAGAAGGACATAAAGTTCTCTTACAAAAATGTTAGGCAGCCCTTGGGCCAAGGATTGGAAGATGTTCAAAAGTGATCTGCTCCTGGTACTTCAGGAGCATAGCTTTAGGAATTTACTTTTTGAGACTATAACTTTCAGTATCTCTCAGCTGACATCATCCAAATTTTTCCAAGTTCCCAGCTGGTATAAGGAAAAGGAGGAGGAAGAGGAGGAAAATCTTGTCAGCTTTTGAAACAATAACACAGATGTTTTCCAAAAGCTTCTTCTTGCCTAGATTTATATTCACAGATGTTCCAGATCTCTTCCTTTTTT